AAAGTTCAATTGTGACAATAGGCCAGTGTCGAATGCACACTACAACATTCAGCTCACAGACTGTTTGTCAAAGACCCGAAAAACTACATCTTCATTTATGAGTGTCCAGTTTAGACATATTTATCCTGTGATCAGTTTACATTGCAAAGTCACAGAAAGTGTCAGTCCCCCACATTTCACCAAATAACGTTGCGATATATACCATCAACAAAAATAACACTATGAATACTACTTTAGTAATTACTCAAATAGTGAGGCCATTCTCTTTTTCAAAATCATAAAACATGTTGGCCCTTGTTCAGATAGGTGTTGGCCCACTTTCTTAAATCAGTCAATTGGCCCAGGTTTGTGAAAAGTTGGATGCATCCCTGCCAGTAAAACAGCAAATATAATTTACACTTTTACATTATGATCCTCTGTAAATACATAATCACTGCGAAAACTGTTTACATGGCATATATGCCAAACTGTGATAAAGCATTCAACGTGCATTTCTTTCTGTGCTTGTAGTGACCCACGCCAGTTATGCTGTCAAACATGATGCTCTTCTGGAGCCCCTGCAACCGTTTGCTGATTGTTTTTACATGTATGTTACCCTGGGAGGCAGTGTGAAGGTGTAAGCTTGCGATGAATGTTGATGTTTCTCCATGTGACGAACTATGAACACACTGGAACATGATGTTCTAATCAAAATTGTTCGCATAATGAATCTCAATCATCTTAGCTGGGGTTAAGTTTGCTAGTGCCATGTGTTGTAAATGTAAATAATATATATTTGAAATGAAGTTGTCATCGTGAATCAGAGAAAGATTATGCAGACACGAGCATGGTTAATTTTTTAACATTTGAATATCAAGTTAGTGTCAGTTACGAAAGGATTTTCCTGCTGTGTCGATGTACTTGGGAGGGTTTATTGTCTAGGTGTTGTATTACACAAACTCGGTGAGGTAGAGAGTTTTGATGAGAGGGAGAAGTTGCCAGGATGTACGTTTCCGCTCACAGGAACTGGAGCAACAGCACCTTCATGAATGGTATCTCAGACTCCCGATCACTGGAGGAGGAGGAGCAGATAGTTGATGGGCTGTACGACGACGTGAAGAAACGTATTTCAAGGATGAACCCTGAAATATTCAAGGACGATGTGAAGTTTATATATCTCGTGATCAGGAAGGAATAGTCAGACCAGAAGAAATGACGTGGAGGAAATCTTAACGGGCAGACATACCTTTCTGATAGCAATGAAACATCAACTAATTTGGTGTGACAATAGACTAAGGGAACTATATGAAACAGACCCCTGAATATCAGTGATGATATTGTGTTTTCACTGAAAGGATAAGCATGTCCTGCTTTATCGGTAGCACCCGCCATTCCCACAGTTGGCTTATAAAGTAAGCATATACAGCGGACGCCGCCCTGGAGTAATGGTGCCATGTGACGGCAGCTCATAAGAAAATCAGACAGCGAAGTGTTCAATTGACCGGAGTATCCAGTTATTAATTTTTAACTGACACTTTTCTTTAGAGGTGCAGAGATTCTGCTGTGTAAGGTAAAGAACAAGTCTTGTATTCATTGTATTTGAACTTTAACACACAGCTATACATGTACCAATAGCTTTGACATCTGATCAAGTGCACTACTTTTCTTGTTGTTGTCGATGTTTACCACCACACTCAGCAATACACCATTATTTATATGGCCGCGGCCTGTAAATAATCAAGTGATCAACACTAAGATCATTAATCAATGTGTCATGACATGTCTCAACCAAGTAAATGAACCTGATCTCACGACAAGCATGGGTTGATGAAGACCAATTCTAACCCGGATCTTCACGGGTCACAGAAGAATAGTATTTAACCTCATTTGGAAATGTTTTATGCAGGTAATTGTAGGTAATTTTGCATTTTGCATCTGACCAATTTTATTATTGTTGTTGTTGCTGTCGTTGTTTAACGATGTACTCCGCAATATTCCAGCCATATAGCGGCGGTGGGCTGTAAATAATTGAGTGTGGGCCAGACAATTCAGTGATTAACATCATGAGAATCAATCAACAGAATTGGGATACGATGGTGTGCAACCAAAGAAACGAGCGTGACCACCCCATCCCGTTAGTCGCCTCGCACGACAAGCATTGGCTGCTGAAGACCAATTCTAGTCCGGATCTTCACGAGTCACAGATGTAAAGCCAGGAGGAGGGGGGAGATGCATTGTGTCTCTTCCTACCTTGTCAGATGAGATGCTGGAACTATACACATTGGAAAATTATCGCAGCACACGTGATTTCCAACCCACACAGAGCCTTTTAAAACTCGTTTCATAATTATATTGGTTGTTTGATTACTGTTCTCACAGCTCGCGACCGCCTCCGTGGTGTAGTGGTTAGAGCGTCCGCCCGGAGAGCGGAAGGTCGCGGGTTCGATCCCCGACCGCGTCATACCAAAAGACGTTAAAATATGGTACGTGTTGGTCCCTGCCTGGCTCTCGGCATTAATGGGTACAACAAGGACTGGTCGGCTCGGAGTCAGTATAATGTGTCTGAGTGGGGTATTCATGCTTCACCGCGGCATGGTATCACAGTGGACTAGCACTATAAAACCAGCTTAAGTCTGGGCTAGTACAAGCAGCCGCACATACACATACACACGCATGCACGTCGTCATATGAGCGAAATATTCTCCAGTACGACGTTAAAACCCAATTTCACCTCACCTCACCTCTCACAGCTCGCTAACCTTGATAATCAATTAATAAAGCGTTAACTCACCTGACCCATACTCTCATTGCTAAGAACGTTATCAATGGATAATCAAACCGTCTCCGGTACATCCTTTATGTCTAAAGTAAAGTGTAATGCCCCTGCTTGTTGGACTGGCCCTTGTCTGATAAGGCCCTGACCTCGCTAAAACCAAGTGTATCTGACCTAAATCTAGTAGCCAGTAAACACTATGTGGGCATACAGTAAAACTTGAGTTTAAAACTAAAGATCGGAGTCACTAATTGTTACATTGACACAGTTGTCAGGAGAGTAGTAGAATACTTAGATTACTGTAATTCAACGCCAATCAGTCTCTGCTCAATCTGATGAATAATGAGTCTATTTTTTAGCATATGGTCACATATTGTTAGAATATAAATCAAAATATCTGTGGGTACAGTGGGACATATCGTCAAAATGGACAGCACTGAGACTAAAGCTTAGGCATGCAAGAAGTGCCTGGGATACGTCCCTGTTTATGCCCTCCTGAGAGGGTATGTAAGTCCAAAAACAAGTAAATTAAAACTCTCCTCATTTTTAATCGTAGAATATGTGTATTTTTAATGTATGGCTAGATTAATCTAAATTGTTCACAGCTGAAGGGATGATGTAAATCCAGCTGGGGCCATGCAGGAAGCAAATGTACTGGAAGTTCCTATGGTCCCTAGTATGATGATCTACCTTCAGTTTGTTGGCGATCTATAGCCGGTATTTATACTGTATTGTCGTGTATAGTTAAATGGCTTAGATTTAGTTACTTGTTTTAAATTTCTATCTGTGATATTCTGGTTGTTTTACTGTCCTTCGTTGACAGTTTTATTAATAGTTTACCTTTAATTTATATTAATCTATAACTTGATTTAGTCACGATATGGCAGAAATATTGCCACAGTTACTTTTAATTTTAACTCACTCACTCACGTCACTGTGTATGCTTGGGGAATACTGTCTACGATGACACGTTTACTTGTGTCTACTGCAAGTCTAAATCAAGGATAGGTATCACCGGTGCCTCACCCATTGCGGGAAATGTCTCGTGAGACGAGTGGTGAAAAACACTGCACCCTGCCCGTGTTACATTAGAAGGTCCATTTTCAGACCATCGAACTCTCTCATAACACAGACTCTGACAATGCATTATTGAAAGTTCATTTAATTATCTACACATACGCATTTTAAAATTATTTTAACTTTTTAATCCATTGTGCAGTTTGAGAAACAAAACACCGATGTGTCTGCTGCTCAACAGTATGCTGTTTGAGAGACATTCAGATATACCGTCATTTTTGTGGTCAACTTGTGACAAAACTGTGCAGAGTTATATTCTAAATGTTTCTTCACACGTCTGCTCACTCTGAAAGTCTAACTAGGACTGAATTGACCTGGCTAAACTCACTCACTAACTAACTTACATAAAATATTGAATGTTCAAAACAGAAACTGTTCGGGCCAAGACAGTAGAACTGATCAACCTACCCCCTTCCAAATATATCCTGACCCGTGAAGATCCGGGTTGGAATGAACCGTCAGTAACCCATGCTTGTCGTAAGAGGCGACTAACGGGATCATGTGGTCAGGCTCGCTGGCTTGGTTGACACATGTCATCAGTTCCCAATTGCGCAGATCGATGCTTATGCTGTTGATAAATGTAATGTCTGGACCAGGCTCGAATATTTACAGACCGCTGCCATATAGTGCGGCGTAAAACTAAACTCGCCCACTTACTCAGCTGGATTGTACATGCCTCCTGTATGCTGCTTCTCTCTCTCTCTCTCTCTCTCTCTCTCTCTCTCTCTCTCTCTCTCTCTCTCTCTCTCTCTCTCTCTCTCTCTCTCTCTCTCTCTCTCTCTCTCTGTTTTCATGTGTTGTTGAGACCCCGCGAATATTAACAGTAGACAAAGAGTTCGCCAACACCTTTACATCTATTGCTGTGTTTATGTTTACTTGAGTCCACAAGATGGCGTCAAATGTATGGCAGCAATTACTGCTCGGCGCCGTCTCTGCACAGACTGGATAATTCCACAAAGTATCTCTAGCAGAATTCTTCCCCACACTGCAATGCAATGGCCAGTTGTGGAAGTGTGTGTTTTGACGTTGACGTACGCGTCAATCGAGTTCATCCCATAGGTTTAAATCTGGTCATTGGGAAGGCCATGGCAAAACATCGACGTTAGAATGTGTTACCATTTATAGCGTAACAAAGCAAAACATTCAATACATGCACTGCTTATAACTCATCTGTGACTAATAAATGTTTATACAATGGTATAAACAATCTATTACATCTGTCTTTGAAATGACTACATCATGTGTTTGGGACTGAAAACGTAGCCAAACACGTGGGCATTCCCAAGAACACCCTGTTTAACTGATCTGTTTCCTTAGACGCAAAATCGCAATGAGGTCATCTGGTCAAGACGTTTACCTCAAATATCAGGTTTATGGGTATTCGGATGTTACCTCGATGATCGACAAGGTTGGATGATGCGACCGACTAGATAAAGGGCTCTCATCTTCGTCAATGTCGTCGCTTCCGTACCGTGACTTCCATGTTCAGGAAACCCTCGCCTGGGTTCACAGATGTATGGTTTGGCCATGTCTCAAAGGGTACTTCCATGGAATCAGACGTTTCCTCGGAGGCCATAGCTTCTTGCCATAAAAGGTCACTTGACATTTTTTCCGATGTGACAACACATAGGATCAGGTAGCCTGTGTTAATCATAATCTAAGGGGATAAACCTGACCCGTTCAACTTTGAAAACACAGCAGATTGTCATTTTCACACGTTAATACTTCGCAAAACAACTTTTAATGTCCTTCAGTAAAATATTAATCATGAAAACACAATAGATTGTCATTTTCACACGTGTTTAGGTTTCTAGCTTTCGAAAAGGTAAAATAGAAATTGTCGATTAAACTAAATAATTACTCATCACAGTTTTGCTGTGATTCATGTAAAATAAACACTGAGTTTTGTGCGTACATTCCCCCTTAAACTCAACATTAATATCCTTCAGTAAAATATGATCCATAATATTGTTTGAGCAACTAAATGCATCAAACCAAAGCTGTTGAAATTTGCACAGTTTCAACAAAATTTAATGATCTTCCTCGAATAATTTTTTCTGACTGTTTTCACATTGCCCCTTCGTTGAAGCATTTACACCACAGCACAAGCACTAACAAACGGGATTATATGTGACCCGTTATCACCTCATCAGAATAGAAACTTTATTGTAACACAGATATACATAACAAGAATATCAAAGGCTTTCCTTGTAGATACATTTGTATAGTTTACTCCAAACTGTTATATGTACATATATTCTACTGCATCATAATTTCATGTCAAAAGTATTATTTTATACCCGCACCTATAAGGATACATAAAGGTTGTGTGATTGTAACTGATAATCTACTGCATCATAATTTCATGTCAAAAGTATTATTTTATACACGCACCTATAAGGATACATACAGGTTGTGTGATTGTAACTGATAATCTGCTTCAAATGAAAATGCTGTTAAACACATCCTGGTTCATAAAAATCCATGGGTGTGGTCGCCGTATTAATCTTTTCATCCAGTGGTTAATACTAAGGGTGTCACCGAATCCACACCGGAAACTTACAAGTTTTAAAAATAGTCTGCAAAATATCATTTATACAGTTTTTCGTTTGTAGGCACATAGATAGGACATGTTTAAGTTGCAATGAATCAATGGTTTTAGTTTGTGAGACAGTCTTCATAGATTGGCCCATCTGAAAGAAAGGGAATCGTCTTGTAGAATATATAGGATGTACTTTCTATCTTCGCGTACTTTGTATCCTTGCGTATGAAATATTTACCAGGTGTTAGACTGGGACTCCTTTCACGAAGCAACCTTTACTAAGGTTAACCTTAACTCCCATTCTTTAACATTGCACTAAGGTTACCTTTGTGACTTACGATCACCTTAGTGCTTTGTGAAAGGACGCTCTGGTCTTCAGCAGCCACATGAACGAATGTCAATTGACCCACACAATGAGACACAATGTAATTTTAATGTTTAAATTGTGTTTGTTTATTGTTTAGCGCTGCACTGAACAATATTCCAGGTATATGGCGGCGGGCTGTAAATAATTAAGTCTGGATCAGACAGAAGATAGCTTATAACGCTTCCTGGATGACACACACACCAAGGCAACTTAAATAATCACATGGACCAAGTAGGAACATCGGGCAGTAAATTTGAAATTTTCCTTCAAAATTTGTCGACCATGTACATTTCTGTAACTGCATGGAATGGTGTAAACATGATGAATAACCTGTGCACAATGTGATGTACGACGCCAATTTTAATCATAAACGGAGGTCGTCTTCGATATCGACTGTAAGTCAAAAGTTGTGACATTTGGAGATCAAGACTGGATCGGTGGGAATACGGATGGATACATAAAGACCTCCTGAAGGTTGAGGTCATGTCTCTTGTTAAATGGGCTGGAGTCGCTCTGAAGCTTAGTGCGTATATTGAAACAAAATGAGGCGGTTTCAAGGGTCTCTTTAATTTTCTATTTTACGTGGGGAAATGAAGGGATGCGCATGTGCTACTTGACCAGTTTGTGAACGATTTCCAATCACCAACATCTGAAGCTTAATTTAAACTAGCTTAAAACTTGTATAAATCCTGTGAAAACATGTTTTGCAGCAAAAATAGACATAGATTTCTAAACAAGTTCATGCACTAGTATTTGTTATGGACAAACTTTGATCGGTAGTGTACCTAGGCGCATTTAGTCGTGTATTGCAGAGCAAGGAAGTCTAACAAAGTACTGAAAAAACACTTAGAGAATCATATCTCAACATATTCATTTCAGTAAAGCTTCTATACTTTATACACATGTATTAGATATTTGCTCCATAATTCCTAAGAGTACTATAGTTTGCTAGGCACTTACAGGAAATACGTACCTGTTAACGGTGAGGTACACGTCCCCTGTGTGGTGTCGTTCCTAATGACTCCATATTCATGTGGGACACTCGCTCCAAGTTGCAATGTTGTATAGGGCCTTTCATCAAGCACTTCTGCCAAAAAAACGGTTCATATTGACCACACTGTCTTTGATAAATAAATACTGAACAAAAGCTGTATAATATGTATTAATTATTTATTTCTGATGAAGAACATTTTTATAGCAAGATTAGCCTATCATAATAGGCCACATGTATGGCGCTGAATTCTACGCAGCACAGGCATGCTCTATGGGCATAAAACATAATGGACATTATTACTTCGGATAACGCTGTGAGGCGCTGGAAGGTTAGAGGTCATATGACTTATCCTGCCGGGTACCCAATTACTGCTGTGTGAACAGATGTAATTTGGAGCAAACTCGCATGCCTAAGGTGAGACCAAACGTGGCATATGAGCTTCGTTGTTGCACAGGATTGAAGTGCATGGTCCCAAGTATGGAGACGTACCTTCAGTTCCTGGTGATTTCCAGCCCATTTTTTTATATTGTATTGTCCATAAACGTTTGTCGAATTTTACAGTTACATGCTAGTTTTAATTCTATATATGTGATAATCTAGTTATTTTACTGACCTTCGTTGGCAGATTTTTACAATTTGATTGTGTCTATTTTAAATTTGAATTTTTTTAGTCACGATATGGCTGAAATATTTTCAATGCGACTATAAATTTTAAGTCACTCACTCACTCACTCACTCACTCACTGAAGTGCATGCCCGAGAATCTAACACTTTATTACCCCGGTTAACCCCCCAAATGCTAACAGACATATGACTTATCCCAAAGGGTGCCATTCACTGCTGGTTGAAAAGAGGCAATTTACGAACAAATTCGCTTGACTAGGGAGAGAGACGTGTGTTACATTTGCTTCGTCGTAGGACAGGACACAAGCCCCAGAACGTCTCAGATTTCAGTCTGCCAAACACAATCACCCTTCCAAGGCATCTCCGTGACCAACGTTACTTAACTGATTTGAGACCTGACCTGTATACACAAGGCCACTCACAGCCATTATCATAAAACCTTTCGTTATCACACACATAGAAAGGATAAATACTATCAGTTAAAGGTAAAGTGTACGCATGCTACTTGAAAATGCTCACAATGTGCTGAAAGTGTCTCTTTAAACCATCTTGATTTCACTTCATGTGCGGAATGTATTGTATACTCTGAGAACAGAAATGACGAAATATGTTTTGCACTGTACCTTCCATTAATGCGTGGAATGGTGTAAACTTGATGATAAACCTTTGCGCATTCATATGATGTATGACACATTTTCAATTGTTCCCCCTTCGATCTCGACTGTAAGTGAGAAGTTGTGACATTTTGAGATCAAGGCTGGATCGGTAGGAATACGGATCGATACATAAAGTCCTGCCTCTTGTTAAACGGGCGTCAGGATATTATTGAGTCCCTCTGAAGCTTAGTGCGTATATTGAAACAAAATGAGGCGGTTTCAAGGGTCTCTTTAATTTTCTTTTTCACGTGGGGAAATGAGTGAATGCGCATGAGCTACTTGACCAGCTTGTGAACGATTTCCAATCACCAACACATCTGAAGCTTAATTTATACAATGTTTAAATCTAGTTTAAAACTTGTATAAATCGTGTGAAAACATGCTTTGCAGCAAAATAAACATAGATTTCCCAAGTCCGTATGTCGGTAGAGTTATATATTAACACACGCCATATAGCTGGAACATTGCTGAGTGCGGCGTAAAACTCAACTCACTCACTATATATTAATACATTTATGTATTTGTCAGGTAGAAATTCTTTTTTCGTTAATGAGGACTTCACAAATTATCAAAAGATGAGATTCATTCTTATGAAATATATTTACTTAACAGGCATGCATCTTCTTTGGACATTTGTTGACTTTGATGGAAGACATTTTAAATTTGACGCATCAGTAACAAAATATATGTTCAATACCATTCCATATTTTTATTTTGTACAATAGTTCTCACGTGTTTTCTTTTCTTGCAGACTCTTGGCTTTGTGTTTGTGAAGGGTACCAGCGGTGGGGCAGGATACACTCACCTGCTTTCATCACAATTTGAAGTGATTCATAAACCCCATGCTCATGGTATAGCCGAACCGTGCAATAGACACGTGTTATAGAGATTCCATATAGTTATGGGGAGAATATTGTCTCTCATATTAAAATAAATGTGTCTCCGTAAATGTCAGAGAATATCAGCTGTATTTACAAGGCGCTCCAGTGAAAATGGACACTGAAATTTTCTCAAGTCGCTTGCAAAGTTGTTTACATGTGTGCACGCTCTTTAACATTGTATTCACTGGGTTTCATATTTGATTCATTTTACAGGATTTCTGTTTGTCTGTAGTAAAGGAAAACGTTCCTGAACTGCTCTTTGACAGAAAATCCTTGTGAGAATTGGTCTTTAGCAACCCATGCTTGTCGTAAGAGTAGTCAGCCTCGCTAACTTAGTCGACACATGTCATTTTATCCAAATTGTCCCAGATCTCAGATCGATGCTCATGCTGTTGATCTCTGTATTGTCTGGTCCAGACTTGATTATTTACAGACCGCCGTCACATTTCTGGAATACTGCTAAGTCCAACAACAAACAAAAATACATACTTTTACAGTGTAATTTTACAGTTTTCCCAGAAATTATTGAGAAAATCTTTGTTTCCTAATACTAATAATAGAATTGTGTTACATTATGTAGTACGGTGCTAAATATGGGAGGCAACTCTTGTAGACTTACGAATGAACCTTACTACATCAAGAGTTATCTCCCCTGGTGTAGGAGACGGCTTCCTTTGTTGACATGACAGATTTGACAGCAGAAGAGAAAAGACAGCTGGTTCGAGATGATTTTGAAAGGGTGTGACTAAAACCTTTGATCACAAAGTACTGAAAAGACACTTAGACTGTAAGAGAATCATATCTTAGTGTATTCATTTAAGTAAAGCTTGTATAGTTTATATAAAAGTATTAGATATTTGCCGAAACATCTTTCTCAATAATTTCTGGGAATACTATTGGGTACAAGGCACTTACAGTTTCAATAGGAAACACGTACCTGTTGACGGTGACGTACACGTCCCCTGTGTGGTGTCGTTCCGTATGACTCCATATTCATGTGGAACACTCTCTCCATGTTGCAATGTTGTATAGGGCCTATCGTCAAGCACTTCTGCAAAATAACGGCTCATATTGACACACTGTATTTGATAATTAAATACCTGAACAAAAGCTGTATACTATGTATCAATTGTTTAGTTCAAATGAAGTGCATTCTATAGCAAGATCGGCTCATCATAATAAGGCCACATATATGGCACTGCTCAATGGCAGTGAAGATCCTTGTTAGAATTGGTCTTTACAACCCATGCTTGTCGTAAGAGACGACTAACGGGATCGTGGTGGTCAGAATCGCTGACATAGTTGACACATGTCATTGTATCCAAATTGTCCCAGATCTGAGATCGATGCTCATCCTTTGATCACTGCATTGTCCGGTCCAGACTTGATTATTTACCGACCGCCGCCACATTGCTGAAATAGTGCAACAAACAAACATACAAACTATGACAGGTATAATTACAATTGCAAAATAGGTGTTACAGTATATAGTAAAAAGGTACTCAGTATGGGAGGCAACTCTTGTAGGCTTACGGATGAGCCTTAATACATCAAGAGTTATCTCCCGTGGTATAGCAGACGGCGTCCTTTGTTGACATGGCAGATTTGACAGCAGAAGAGAAAAGACAGCTGGTTCGAGATGATTTTGAAAGGGTGTGACTAATGCAAAACAGTTAGCTGGTAGACATGACTTGTTCTCTGTCTACAGTGTACGGAAATTTGAAGAATATTCAGTCAGGAGTTGGGTTTGAACACAAGACAGGGCAGGGGAGGCAATGGAAGTCCAGTACTACAGATCGCCAGTGACTTGAAATTCAGAAAATTGTGAGTAAAGGGCAAATTGGAGAAAAACGTTGAGTATATCAGAAATGTGACGATTAATAGAAGAAGTCCTCAGGCATGTAATGAAACCCTAAAACAGGAACTACAAAGACTTAACTGGGTGAAAAAGCACAGATTTTCCTCACCATTGATGAAAAATGCACAAAAAGGAGGCCTTTGAACTGGTGTGGAGCTCACGAAAATCAAGATTGGAATAATGTTTTCTTTTCTGATAAAAATTCAGTCTGCCTTTTTCAGAGAAGTGTGAAAATTTGAACAAAAGATACTGTGAAACCTATTTACCAACGCCCAAAACATAGCCCGAAATTTCACATTCGGGGTGGGATATCATGTGGTGTGATGCCGTTGTGCATTTTCACTGGAAATTTGACGAAGGAACGATATGTTGACATGATAAATGATCTCCTCCACTATATGGATTTTTCAGCACAATAACGACCTAAAACACACTGCGGGCTACACACAAAACAGTGGTTGTCTGACGAAAATGTTCAATTTTAGGACTGGGCAAGCTACAGCTCAGATCTTAGCCTTATTGAGAATATGTGAGGACTAATGAACGACAGAATAAAACAAAAAGGACTTAAAATATTTAAGATATGATGAAAGAACTTGGGATACGCAGTCACACGATTTCCTGCAAATTTGATCGATGGTGTACCTAGGCCCATTCAGTCGTGTGTTGCAGGGCAAGGGGGTCTCACAAAGTACTGAAAAGACATTTTGACTGTAAGAGAATCATATCTCAACATATTCATGTAAGCAAAACTTCTATAGTTATTTACCGAAACATCTTTCTCAATAATTTCTGGGAATACTACAGGGTGCTAGGCACTTTACAGTTTCAATAGGAAACACGTACCTGTTGACGGTGACGTACACGTCCCCTGTGTGTTGTCGTTCCTTGTGACTCCATATTCCTGTGGGACACTCGCTCCATGTTGCAATGTTGTATAGGGCCTCTCGTCAAGCACTTCTGCAAAATATCGGTTCATATTGACCACACTGTATTTGATAAATAAATACTGAAGAAAAGCTGTATAATATGTATTAATTATTTTTTTTCAAATGAAATGCTCGGTTCACCATAATAAGGCAAAATATATGGCGCTGAATTCAACGCTGGACGGACATGCTTTGAGCGCCTTAAACTAACTGGACATTACTACTTTCCGTGAGGTGTTTGAAAGTTAGAGGTTGCATGATCTATCCTGCTCGGTAGGACAGGAGCCCAAGTCTCAGAAATCAATTTACCAAACACAGTCACCCTTCCGAGGAATCTCAGCGACCAACGTTGCTTAGCTGATTTGGGACAGACATATGATTTATCCCCAAAGGGTACCCATTGACTTCTGGTTGAAAAGAGGCAATTTACGAACAAATTACTTGACTCGGGAGAGAGACGCTTGTCACCAGTGCTTCGTTGTGGGTCTGAACAGTCTCAGAAGTCTCAGAAGTCAATCTGCCAAACACAGTCACCCTTCCAAGGAATCTCCGTGACCAACGTTGCTTAACTGATCTGGGACCTGAGCTCTTTACACATGGCCACTCACAGCCATTACCATAAAACCTTTCGTTATCACACACATAGAAAGGATAAATACTATCAGTTAAAGGTAAAGTGTAAGCATTCTACTTGAAAATGCTCACAATGTGCTGACAGTGTCTCTTTAAACCATCTTGATTTCACTTCATGTACGGGATGTATTGTATTGATGAAATATGTTTTCGCACTGTACCTTCGGGAATCTTCCTGCTCCATCTTTTTGGATATGACTACACCAATCACAGTCCCAGCGATAAGCATCACGCCAAAGACGGCACACACAACTATCACTGCAGTATTGTCTGAAAGAAATAACTATGATCTTAACTTTTCCGAGTTACTTAATATCGAACAAATGCCAAATTTCTGCGGTTCCCCCGCCGTGACAATCCTGGAATGTTGCGAATGCAAATGGCGGCGTAAAACTAAACACACCCACTCACTAACAAATGAAGGACGCCCTATGCACACGTCTCACAATAAACATTATCAGCTGACGATGGTGCATTAAATTCAAAACATAAAAATAAAATGAAGTCATAAAACCATACTGAGCCATGTGTACAGTGTACCGGCGACTAAGAGAACATGGTATTCGGGCACGTCGACCCTACCGTGGAGTGTATCTGACTCTTCAAATCCGACGTCGTCGACTGACATGGGCCAGGTGAGTTCGACGTTGGCAGATGCGTGATTGGCGACGTGTGATGTTCACCGACGAGAGTAGGTTTTGCCTGTACAGTGATGAGGCTCCTGTTTACAGACGGGTAGATGAATGTGTGCCGAATTGCGTTCAGCAAGTCTGACCGTTTGGATCCAGTAGCATGATGGTGTTGGTAGGGATCTGCGGCGATCTCAAAGTGAGACTTGTGATTATTCATGGCAACCTGAATTCTCGAAGAGTCAGGGATGAATTGTTGTGACCAGTTGTGTTACCATTTATTCTCGATAACGCTAACATCATTGTTTTGCCGTGACCAGCGTGTTCTTCCGACGTGAATCCGAAAGTACACTTTTTATGAAACTACCTTGGTCAACATTAATCAGAAGTCCACTAGCGCCACCGGTCACCACTCAACAATCATGTCTCCTACAGGAATGGCAACGGATCACGCCTGACGTCATTCGTCGTCTTTCATCATCAATGTGTTTGGGCGTGTATTGAAGCCATTGGTGGTCACACTCACTATCGATTCAACATTTGATGACATTTTGCAGAAAAAGGTCTTTGTTGATAAGCGTAAAAGTTCAGACTATGATACCACGTGTCTTTCACTGTCACTCAAACGGTACTTTCGGCTTTACATGGAAATGACAACATGTACATTTGTACATTGAATGCTCTATTGAAATTAAGCAGATGATCATTTATACATGCTTTTATTTTAGTTTCAAATTTGGTCAAACATAGTGTATACTTTCTTTTGAGCACTAGTTTACCAGCCATTATTTATAGACGCCACTCAAATCTGATATAAATTATAAAATGTCAACGACAGAGAATAACCAGTCTCGAGTATCCGATGAAACAGGTTCCATTCCAATGTTCATGTAAATGTATCTAGAAAACATTTTAAAACCTAAGTACATGGTAATTAGAAGACACAGGATTACCCATGAATGCAATTGAAAATGAGACATTTCTTCTGTTAGCTTGTCAGCTTTTACTTTACAACAATGTCATGGAGAATATTTTACATATTTACTCACCATTCTATACTTGTTTGTATCTGATATTTCTTTGTTCATAAAGACTTACATCAGAGGAAGCAAATGCTGTGGGAAATCTAAGATAAATATTGAACAATGTTCAACCCCATTAACAACAACAAACGTCAAGGTTCCATTCTACAGGTGTAATTCAGGTGTGTACGCCTCCTGACAGGTCGAGGAGCTGACAACGGGGTCACTGTCATTTCAAGTATCTGTGCATAAAATGTTCACACTTCCAAGGCTGTCCATCTGCAGTTCTCCTGCCAACGCGTCATCTACAAATTATATGACAACATAACTATGACTGTTTGTTATTGAGAATTCTAATTCAACTTAGTATGTAACTTCTGACTGGTCAAGGCTATAAATTTCCGAAATATAATCAGCATATACGGTTGCAATTTGAAAACCGATTCACCAAAACTTTTGAATGTATCCCTACACGCGTTGTTTACAGACAAAGATGGCGACATGCCAATCAAGCGAGAATGCTAGCTTAGATTACGGCGATTTTGTTATAGATTACGATGAAACTTTTGAAAGTGGGATAAACCTTCTACTTGCTAATGAAGAATTCGACAGCATTTTGGCTACATTGGGATATTAAAAGACCGAGGGTGTCAACGCCGCGTCTAACGACTTGTACTTCTAGAGGTGGCGTTGTGTTGTAGTTTCTATTCGTACGATCCTAGCTTTCTTTTTGTTTGGCGTTGTGCGAATCGGCCCTAGACTACACAGAGCTGGGCTTTGCTTTGTCGACAGATCTATATATCTGCTACGGCACTGTCCATCCAATGTCCGTGTACTTAGAAGTGAATGTCTACATTGGCCCCTAAATAACAAAAAAGATTTTTTTGGCGCTCCATTTTCGTCCAGCGCCAGATACAGATACAGGATAGTTCGCTCGGCCCACGATACATCTGTTTTGCAAACCTGTGGATGGCATGTCTTGGCCCACCCCTGTGTGTCCTGGCTCGCCTCTGTGTGTCCTGGCCCACCTCTATGTGTCCTGGCCTACCTCTGTGTGTCCTGGCCTGCCTCTGTGTGTTCTGGCCTGCCTCTGTGTGTCCTAGCCTCCCCTTGTGTGTCCTGGCCTGCTTTTATGTGTCCTTCCCCACCCCTGCGTGTCTTGGCTAGCTTCTGTCTGTCCTGGCCTGCCTCTCTGTGCCCTGGCCTGCCTCTGTGTGTCCTGGCCTGCCTCTGTGTGTCCTGGCCGACCCCTGTGTGTCCTGGCCTCCCCTTGTGTGTCCTAGCCTGCTTCTATGTGTCCTGGCCCCACCCCCTGTGTGTCCTGGCCACCTCTGTGGTGTCTGTGTGCCCACCCCCTGTGTGTCCTGGCCTGCCTCTGTGTGTCCTGGCCCATCCCTGTGTGTCCTGGCCTGCTTCTATGTGTCCTGGCCCCTCCCTGTGTGTCCTGGCCTGCCTCTGTGTGTCCTGGCCCACCCTGTGTGTCCTGGCCTGCCTCTCTGTGTGTCCTGGCCCCACCCCTGTGTGTCCTGGCTCGCTGTGTGTCCTGGCCCCACTCTATGTGTCCTGGCCCAGCCCTGTAGTATCTCCCTGTGTGTCCTGGCCTTTGCTTTTTTGCAGTGTGTCCTGGCCTGGGTCGATGATAAAAGCTTTATTTATGACATAACGCTTTACAGAGGCTAAATTTTTTGATTTGTCAAAAGTGATCTCGTACGAAACGCGAGATTTTGCGATGGCTCATTGGGACATCAGGAACGGTGGATGAACTGTATATCCTCCCGCTTCCAATGCATTCAGTATCTACCATGTTGTATACAAAACAAGGCAGCCAGTGCGGTGTCAAATAAGCAATGACCTACCATTGATTACGTTATTTGATATGTTTGAAACAAACAGAAGTTTAACTTATCGCATACGGCAAGGGTGACAACAACACTACTGTATCCAGCACATTTTACACGCCAAGATGACTCTAGTGCAAATAACTTGATGATATTTGTTTTAGATTCTTCTAACATCTTCACTGTTGTTGTCTCAACGTTCGAATGGCCGATTAACACGTTGTGTGATATTGTTGATTCTTCATCTTCAAGGTCTATCATGACGTTCACCACAAATATTTGACTCTCTACAAGTTTAAACTTGTTTATGTGCAACACTATAATGTATCCATCATTGTCAGATTTAGTCACTGTGCACATAATAAACGTGTTTATCGTGATCATTTGACTTGTTATTCAGTTTGTTGAAGTTCAAAAAGGGAACTACTTTTTCTGGCGACGGTAAAAAGATCAAGGAGTGATATGATTAACCTTTGACCTAGAAGAACTTTGACCTGGTATAAATAATGAATTTCTTTCACGAAAAACAGCATAAAACGAGTTGAATTAGAATGTGGATAACTGTACTGTGTTTGACGAATTGGGGACGTATACCGGTGGTTATATAGCCGCAAATTTAGTTATATCGGCGACGCCTAACTAGAAACGGTCATATTCAATGCCATACATTATATACAGTGAACTACTGTAAAAGAAAACGAAAAACTAACACAAACAGTAGATGGTGTATAAGAAATCTATTGTTAATAACAATAGGTAACAAAGAACATAAAAAGGTAGTACGAAAATCTTGGTGTCAAGGGTTATAACTGTGACTGTGTTCACAGTTGGTGAGATTTTCATTTCTCACTGGAATGGATGACTGGGTGAGACATGGCGATTGAAATGACATTATGGAGTGGAAATATTTTCCCTATTGGATGGGATGAGGAGAGAACTGAAATACAGTGTAAACATATAAATAATGAAAGCAATGTATTTTATTTTTTGCATCATGAGAGCTGAATCTGAAATGGAATTTTAAAGTCCAACATTTTTGTTTGGATAATACGTTCAACGCATAAAAAGTATAAAGGGATACAAAAAGTATAACAAACAAACATGATCATACTCTCGTGCAAAGATGTAAAACTTCTTCTAATTAACGATTAAGTTGTGAACACAAACAGATCATAGCACATCACACGATAGAGTCACAGTCATAGCATGTTACATGATAGAAAATAGCATAGTCATAGCACATCACATGACAGTGTTGTAGTTACAGCACATCATATGATAGATAAAATGTACAGAAGTATATTGTCATAGCACATCACATGACAGTGTTGTAGTTACAGCACAACATATGATAGATAAATGTACAGAAGCATATTGTCATAGCACATCACATGCACATCATATGATAGATAAAATGTGTATTATATTGTAGTTACAGCAGCACACCATATGATAGATAAAATGTACAGAAGTATATTGTCATAGCACATCACATGACAGTGTTGTAGTTACAGCACATCATATGATAGATAAAATGTCACAAGACAGAAGTATATTGTCATAGCACATCACAAGATAGAGGTATAGTCAAAGTGCATCCTATGGTCGACATAATGTCACATGACAGAAGTATATTGTCATAGCACATCACATGATAGACATGTGACTGACACATGACTCAAAGTTAACAGGTCAACATACCTGGAGGTCCTGGTCTAACAGCGTCAGTATTTCCCAGGAGAGAAGGTCTTTGTGTACTCGTAGTGGCGGTTGTGGTGGAGGGGATGTGGGTTGTAGCAACTGCAGATGTTGGTGAAGAGAGAGACATACAGAGAGTGAATACATGCATTAGTTCGAATCACAGTTAGATGATCATGCTCGTCAAAGATATACAAGTCATTCCTACAACAACTTCAGATATATCTGCCATATCAGCGCCTTATTCATCTGGTTATTTAGCATTTTAAAGCCTCGGTCAAGTTAATCTCATCATGTGTATTTCCAGGGTCAAATAAGTGATTTACTTACTTCAGCTGCTTAACTCCAACTGATTTGTGACTTATACACTTTGATCACAGATTCAACTTATCCCTTTACTTTTGTTGGGCCAGGTGACATAGTTTTGCTTCAAAAATAGGATAATACCAGCAAGTAATGGTGAATTTCCACACCTTGGGCGTAAGTAAGAGGAAAATGTTCTCAAACATCAATAATTTACCTGATCTTCATTCCTCCGCTGTGATATTACTTCTACATTTCGTCACCCACTCACTCACACCTCGAACACTTTATTATATAAATTGTAGAGATATAATTCAAAACTATTATAGAAATACTGGAACTATATACATGGAGCCAAGAAATAAAAAGCTGTGTTAGAAATAGAAGGTCGTACTGATCTGGCGCAATCATTCGTTGTAAATAGACATTCAAAAACAAAATGTTTATATACTCTTGACAGTGTATGATGGATATATTAATATTAAAAAACATAAAGGTAAATTATGCTTAACGATTTGTCTTGATCGTCTGAATTACATTGAAAGGTTTGCAGTTTTGTTTAAATACACAAAACCGAAAACACTCACAAACAAAAAATAAAACAACGAAAATAACAAACAAAAAATATCATAGTTTAATTTCCCATGAATAAAAATATCCCTAGTCACTGAAAAACAAAGACATACGTATTACCAAATATGATAAATGAAAAACCGTGGTGTATGTGTATGTGAATAAGAAACCCCAAAACCCAACACATGTGAATAACCGTTTGTATTATTAATATAGATAAATAAGAAACAATAGAGCTAATGCCGACACCCCTTGTCACTTCTATGGTAGGCTATACTTTTTCATGCTCGATTTCATGCTCAAAGCGGAAAGGGAGTTCCAGGAGAAGATTGTCCCATCACTATGTTACCGAGAGAGGAGACTATCTTTAGAAGACACGTCTGTAGCTATTCATCCCACGTACTGCCTACGAGCAACACCTCCTTACGATTCGCGCTTAAGGTAGCTGCCAAAATGTGTCACAAGTCTGGACACACAGATCGGGCTGACAAACAGTCCTTTCTGACTCTCGGATCTCTTTCATCAACATGACCAAAGATGAGAACAACGCTTCTTGCCCTTCTATATTACATCAGTCGAAAACAGCAGGGCCATTAGGTACATCTCAACAGTGGACGTACTTCCTGGTAAGGCCGGCGTTATACTTTTTACAAAAGTCTCCATTTCAGTGACTCACCAGACTGGTTATGAAAGAGCATGACGACTCAGGTGTGTCAAGGCGGATTATGATAAAATGTCTCTGCGTGTGTCATTGTCAGCTAAACAACGCGGGAACATGACACATAATAAACAAATAATTCGAATATTATCATAAACGAACATATATAATTTGGATATGAAGAATACTGCTTCTTCATCATAATCGTATACTTTGTAGAAACAGTGTAGAGGCAATGGTCGCGGAAACGCAACTCGTTGTTATGTCATAATAGATAACTTACCGAGAGAAATATACCTATCGTGAAGAGCCACCCTGAGATTGTCGGTCTCCGTGTCATGACTTCAACGATGAACAGCATTCACTGCAGAAGTTACCGTCTCATCTGATCATAAAAGCTCTCGATTAAATTAACTCCTCTTCTCTCTTCTCTTCACGTGTATACACAAATGCACACAATGGCAGTCTTGCACACGTTACCAAGCAACTGTTGTGAAAGGCAATTCCTGACGTCAGCGTCGGACTGGCCCATGTTCTATTTTTATCAACGCCACGCAAAGCTGTGCAAAGAGCCCTGGAAATACAAAGTCACTTTCGGTTTTCAATCTGCATCAGTTTTGGTCGCGGTAAAGTCAGGTATGTATTTCAGTAGGAATAACCGAATTTGACGTTCCAATTTATTAGCAACATAAGGCATAAAGTGTGTGGTTAACTGTGGAAGGTATTTGTCAGTTTGCTAAAACGCATATTAATCAATATTCCAGCTATAATAAGGCGGTCTGTATATTAAATTATTAATACGTCTGGACACCCCACAAATCTTGAACAACAGTGTACTTGATACGTTTGACCCTGTAGTATCGTCTCCATGGTCACCCTTACAAATCTTGAACAGTGTACTCGATACGTTTGACCCTGTAGTGTCGTCACAATGGTCACCCCACAAATCTTGAACAGTGTACTTGATACGTTTGACCCTGTAGTGTCGTCTCCATGGTCACCCCACAAATCTTGAACAGTGTACTCGATACGTTTGACCCTATAATATCGTCTCCGCCAAGATTACCTCACAAATCTTGAACAGTGTACTTGATACGTTTGACCCTGTAGTCGTCTCCATGGTCACCTCACAAATCTTAGAATTGATTATTACTTGATACGTTTTGACACTATAATATCCTCTCCATGGTCACCCCACAAATCAGTGAACAGTGTACTTGATACGTTTGTGGCCTTTATAATATCGTCTCCATGAGGTCACCTCCACAAAATCATGAACAGTGTACTTGATACGTTTGACTACTTAGTACGCCGTCTCCATGGGTCACCTCACAAATCTTGAACAGTGTACTCGATACGTTTGACCCTGTAGTGTAAATCTCCATGGTCCGCGTCACAAGTCTTGAACAGTGTGCCAGTACGTTTGACCCTGTAAGTACCGTCCATGAATTCACCTCCACAAATCTTGAACAGTGTACTTACGATTACGTTTATTCCTGGTATCGTCTCTCCATGGTCCTCACAAATCTTGAACAGTGTACTCGATACGTTTGACCCTGTAGTGATATCGTCTCCATGAATCACCCTCACAAATCTTGAACAGATTATTATGATACGTTTGGCACTGGTACCGTCTCCATGGTCACCTCACAAATCTTGAACCAGTGTGCCTCGATACGTTTTGACCCTGTAGTATCGTCTGTAGCCACCCTCACCAAATCTTGAACAGTGTACTTGATACGTTTGACCCTGTGGAGTGTGTCGTCTCCATGGTCGCCTCACAAATCTTGAACAGGGTGTGCTTTGATACGTTTGACCCTTAGTATCGTCTCCATGGTCACCTCCACAAATCTTGAACGGTGTACTCGATACGTTTTGACCCTGTAGTACGTACTCCATGGTCACCTCACAAATCTTGAACGGGCTATTGCTCGATACGTTTACCCGTACATGTAGTAGCTATCGTCTCCATGGTGCCTCACAAATCTTAAACAATTATTACTCGATACGTTTTGACTCTAATATCGTCTCCCTTGGTCACCTCCACAAATCTTGAACAGTGTACTTGATACGTTGTTTGACCCTGTAGTATCGTCTCCATGGTCATTTCCACAAAATCTCCAGACAGTGTGCTCGATACGTTTTGACCCTGTAGTACCATCTCCATGGTCACCTCACAAATCTTGAACGGTGTACTCAATACGTTTTGACCATGTAGTATCATTACTCCATGGTCACCTCACAAATCATAAACAATTAGTACTCGATACGTTTGACCCTACATGTATCATTCCATGGTCACCTACCGTGCAGACGGTGTACTTGGGCGTTTATTACATGGTACTTATTTATTTGGGTTTGGTTTTACGCCGCTTTTAGCAATATTAACAACACATACGGCGGGGACGCAGAAATGGGCTTCACAGACCCTGTAGTATCGTCTCCACATGGTCATTTCACAAATCGTGAACAATTGTACTCGATACGTTTGACCCTGTAGTATCGTCTCCATGGTCACCTCTGCAAATCTTGAACAATTTTCGATACGTTTGACGCTATAATATCGTCTCCATGGTTACCCACAAATCTTGAACAGTGTACTCAGTACGTTTGACCTGTAGTATGTCTCCATGAGTGCCCTCACAAATCGAAGACAGTGTACTTGTTTGTTTTGACCCTGTGGTACCGGAAATCTCCCATGGTCACCCTCACCAAATCTTGAACCGGTGCTGATACGTTTGACCCATAACAGTATCGTCTCCATGGTGCCTCACCGAGAATCTTGAACGGTGTACTTGATACGGTTTGACCCTGTAGTACCGTCTCCTTGGTCGCCTCACAAATCTTGAACGGTGTACTCGATGCGTTTTGACCTGTAGTACCGTCTCCATGGTCCTCCACAAATCTTGAACAGTGTGCCGATACGTTTCGACTGTAGTACCGTCTCCATGGTCACCTCTGCGTCTTGAACGGTGTACTCGATGCGTTTGATATAGTAACATCATTCCATGGCCACCACCCTCACAAATCTTGAACAACGAATTAACGCACTTGATACGTTTGGCCCTATAGTGTCGTCTCCATGGTCACCTCAAATCTTGAACAATTAATACTCGATACGTTTGACCCTGTAGTATCGTCTCCATGGTCACCTACAAATCTTGATAAGTGTGCATTACACGTTTTGACCCCTGTAATTACCGTCTCCATAACGGTCACCTCACAAAATCACCAGACAATTATTACTTCCGATACGTTTCCCGATACCAGTATCGTCTCCATGGTCGCCTCGCAAATCTTTAAACAGTGTACTCGATACGTTTGACCCTATCAATATCGTCTCCATGGTCACCTCACAAAATCTTTAGACAATTAATTACTTGATACGTTTGACCTGTAGTATCGTCTCCGTATTTCACAAATCGTGAACAGTGTACTCGATACGTTTGACCCTGTAGTATCGTCTCCATGGTCACCTGCGAAGTCTTGAACGGTGTACTCGATACGTTTGACGCTATAATGTCATCTCCATGGATCCTTACAAATCTTGAACGGTGTTACTTGATACGTTTGACCCTGTAGTACCGTCTCCATGGTCCTTACAAATCTTAGACGGTGTACTCGATATGTTTGACCTTTATAAATAATGTCGATCATGGTCCACCTCAAATCTTGAACGGTGCGCCGGTACCTTTGACCCTATAATATCGTCTCCATGATCGTTTTCCACAAATCTTAAAACGATTAGTACTTGATGGACGACCCTGTAGTATCGTCTCATAGTTTCCTCACAAATCGAACGGTGTGCTTGATACGT